CTGAAGTGTGAAGGTCTTGTGGAACTTGACACCATCACTCAGAGAGTGACAGAAACCCTGGGATCTCTCCTTTCAAAATCCTTTGGCTGCATTAACACAAACAACACCCTTGGGCACACTGGCTTTCCAATCCACTTGCAAGGAAGTTGCCACAAGTCTCATTATCCCTTGGTGTCACTTTGTGCTGAAAACTTCACCTTTGTTTTCACATCTCTGGCAGGTGTGACAGTTTCTGAAGTGACAAGAAGCCTCCAGCCTGCTTTCTAATTCCCCAGAAGCTCTTCTCTCAAGGTACAGATAAAGGATTTGGTGTTCCTCCAGATCAGCGTGAGTGGGAGATGGTTTCATAAGCTGAGGCTTCATCCCACCCCATACTTGATGGAGGGGTTGTACAGCTGCATATCTGCAACCACCCAGACACGTGCATCTCTCCTGGCCTGGCCAAGGTGTGAGATCAGAGCCCAGAAAGCAGTATAGTCTCTGAATCCTGGGAAATGTAGAGACCTTGACAGCTTCTTCAGCAGGTGGTGGGAGCTCTCATCATCTGGGAGCTCTGGAGATGTGTGATAGAAGCTGGGGGAGAGGTCAGAACCCTGGCAGAAGAGAGAAAATGGATGAAGCATGGTGAAAGCACACCTAGAAGAGGAATGAAATTGCACCCAGGACCATGTTAACATTTACCCAGCCCAGCTTACCCCTAGAGCTACCAGCCATTTGATCATGTGCAGATGCACCTCCTCCTGCTCTAAGATGGCCATGGTGCCAACAGGTGATTTTAATTTGCTTTATGCTGTTGTGAAGTAGTAGAAATTAGTAGACACTTTGGGAACCAGATTCTAATCCTGGTACCTAAACCTACCCTAATGTTTGATTTCTGAGTGCAGTGTGTGTTATGGACCGAACCAACAGAGGTAAGGTCCTATGTTGTCTTAACATACCTGTTTTCAGAAGTGTTTTTTATTTAAACCACTTTATTTATGAAAAGTGAGGAAAAAGGTAACACAAAAGTACCTGCTTTCACTGTTGGCCCTCCCCTTGGTGAGGCCAGGTGGCAATTTTCTTGCCAATGACACATCAGAATTGGGACTTTGGGAGGAGAAGAACCAGTTTCATTATCATGTCCAAGGGCACTGGGAGGTGCTCACCTACAAGGGGCAAAGCTGGTGCCACTGGCCTGGCAGGTAGGAGGCAGACCCCAGCAGGATGAGCAGCCAAAGACACAAAGTGCTGAAGAGCCTGAAGAACCAGGCACAGACCTCAGTATGATGGAAGCTGCAGTGCAGAGGGGTGTCACTGTGTGTTAATCACACCCTTCCTAGTCTCTGTCCCTTACAGGTGTCTTTGTAGCCTCATGCCTTGACTTTTGACAGAGAGAAACCATGTTCTCAAAGCCTCTCTCTGAGGCTCCACTGCCCCACGGCTTGGGAAGATTACTCTGGATTTAAGGTTTATTTTCTCGGGAAATGCAGGGAAATAAGGTGAATTATCTACTGCCTAAAAGGGACCTGGACTGCCAAGTCACAAAGGGAAGAGATGGGGTGAGTCAAGAGATAATGCCACCATTAAAAGATAAAATGGATTAACATCTCCCTGCATACAGAAAGCTGCGTGGGTGGAGCAAGAGGTTGCAAAAGCAGTTTAAAAGGCGATGAGACAGCTTGGCATCCCTGTATTCTTCTCTTAAAAAAAGAAATCCATCCCAAAAGCTGAGCTTTGCTGACACTCTACTATAGACTGTAGACTGACTGGCTGGCTGGCTGCAGTTAGGAGGTGTCAGGACAACCTGACTGCAGACCCTCCTGGCTGACCTATGTGGGACTAACAGCAAAAATGACCCATGGGAAGTAGCTCACAATCATATATTTCCATTTCTGTTTCAGCCTGGGATCTCAGCTGTAGCAACTATTCAGCCAGACGAGGCTGTGCACTACTTGCCCAAGGCAGCTGTTCCCGCGCGTCTGCGAGGTGACACGAACCGTGGTGAAGGGCCTGTTTAGGATGTGATTAAAGAGGTAATTCTCCCTCCCTGTGCAGATGAGATCTAAGCGTGGCTTAAGTAAATTACAGAGTGGCTTGTTATAGCCCTGGCTGAGTTCCCTCCCTGCACAGGGCCTAGTGTTTCATATCCAATTCGCTGTGAAGTCCCAAGTGTCACAAGAGCATCTCGATGCCTGCATCTCTGCCTGACACCCCTGCTCTGGCAGATGTGACCCTGGGGACCCACTGTGCATGGCTCTGAGGTGCAGGATAAGCCCTGTCAGTTTTCCTAACAGTTTCTGATTTTCCTTCCCTGAAAGCTCCCTGTTCCTGGCAGGGACAGTCCAGGGTCTGATCCTCGGGGACCAGCAGATAGAAAGGCAGCAGCACTTTGCTCTTGTCTGAAGGATTTTTAACAGGACGCTTTGATCACAGTGTGGCACAGATGAGTGTACAGACCTTGGGAAGGGTATCAGCCCCAAAACCCTCTTGTTTCCACCCCCTGGAGAGCCTTTTGGCTCCTGATCTGTGTCCTGGAGAGGATCTCGGCCCTAACCCTAACCCCTTCTCCTCCACAGACCGAGTTCCCTTTGGTTTGTAATTTGTACAGGCCGTTCTGAACGGAGCCTAAAATCACCTCTAGCACCTTAACCTCTTGGCACTTTTCTGGCCGGAGGGGCTCAGGGGTAGAACCATTCAAGCCTTTATTGCCGGTGCTGAGCAGCTGCCGGGGGCGGAACGTTGCGCCGGCGGCCGCGTGTTCCGGGG